GGGGGGGAGGGGCATATTTATGTCTCCTTCTAGTTTCCTGGTGAATTTAATACTGGGACTATGTCTCCCAATTCTCCATTGCTGTCTAGCATCCTGCTTATCCACATCACTTAATTAACATTTACAGCAAGGAAAAGTAGTAGGAACTGCAGATTATACAATACAGGATACAGGAGTGTTTTCATCTCTATGAGAGTAGCATGTTTATTGAATAAACAAACAAACAGAAAACAACAACAGAAAAAACAACCACCTGACTAACCGTCTTCTAGAAAGCAACAGAATGAAAGCTCTTGAGCTCAGCTCTGAACTCCTAATGAGGTAAAATTTTGTGTTCTGAAAATTTTTATTACCCAAGATTATTTATACTCTTTTAGAACAACAAATTAAAAACATTTGAATTTGTTTCAGTTCAGCTTATATTTTCTTTTCATTTTTTGTTTTGAAAATGTTAATGATTCCACAACTTTTCTACGAGTCATAGGCCTGTTTCAGAGAGTGCTCTTATAAGACTATTTTTATCAGCTATTTTGTCAGCAGGGTTCTCAAGCCACAGACATAAAATATCTCCTGTGGGTAATAACCCAGACAGACTAGTAACGTAATTACTAGTAACTTAATTAGATTGTAACTTAGTTACAATTTAAGTAACTTGACTGCCCTAAACAGAGTAATCCATGTGACTAGGATTCACAAGTCACCTTCTGACTGTTCCATACTACCTCACTTTAGTTTGTCATTTTTCCCCCAACAACCATTTTGCAATTTATACACTAATGCAACAATCATCCTATACTGATAAATTTCATTATGTAGACACTCCCTCAAATAACATGCTCTTTTTCTTTGTTTGAATATACCTTTGGAGCAATTCTAAGTAAAAACTAAGTGTTAGGATTTAAATGACAATGCTATAATATTTGTTATTCAATAATATTATTAACATAGTTTAAATAATCAAGTTATAGCGGATAATTTTGAAAAGAAAAGATACTTTACAATGTTATATTTGTGCTATTGAGGAGTACTTACTTAAGGATGATAAAGTAATAATTAGGATATTGTTTCATATTTTATTTAAAAATGTCAGGCCGAAACCAGTTTGGCTCAGTGGATAGAGCGTCATCCTATGGACTGAAAGGTCCCGGGTTCGATTCCGGTCAAGGGCATGTACCTTGATTGCAGGCACATCCCTGGTGGGGGGTGTGCAGGAGGCAGCTGATCGATGATTCTCTCTCATCGATGTTTCTAATTCTCTATCTCTCTCTCTTCCTCTCTGTAAAAAATCAATAAAATATATTTTAAAAAAAAGAAGTGTCAGAAGTTAGGAAATGAATAAGTTCTGAGGATCTAATATACAACATGGCGATTATAGTTAACAATAATATATTGTATGCTTGAAAATTGCTAAAAGAATAGATCTTAAATATCCTCATCTCCCTTTCTACACAAAAGATAACTATGTGAGGTAGTGAATGTGTTAACTCACCTTATTGGAATCATTTTATAGTTTATCCATTTACCAAATCATTACATGTATATCTTAAATGTACACAATGTTAAATGTACACAAAATTACATCACAACAAAGATGAGAAAATGTCAGGCAAGGAATTGTGATATAAATAAATCTTTTGGAGAGCTTTCTTGAATCATCTCAAGTGTCATATAAACTAAAACACAGTTTACTTTTAAATTTAAAAAATATGTATACATGACATATTTTAGCTTCACTTGGAGGATAGGGGTATGATATATTAAACAATATTAGTATATTATTATCCCAAAGAATTTAGAAATTATCCTTCTACCTAGCCAGCATGGCTCAGTGGTTGAGTGTCAACCTATGAACCAAGAGGTTACAATTTGATTCCAGGTCAAGGCAAGAGATAGCCAATCAATGATTCTTTCTCATCATTGAAGTTTTTATATCTTTTTCCCTCTCTCTTCTGAAATCAATAAAAATATTAAAAAATAAAATAATTTTTAAAAAGATTGAGTGATTTTATTTCTGGGTTCTCTACAGCCCAAGTGTCCATCAGTAGAAGAATGGATAAAATAGCTATGGTATATGTATACAATGGAATACTACTTGGCCATAAGAAGGAAGAAAATGTTACTCTTTGCAACAGCATGGATGGACTTGTAAAACATTATACTCAGTGAAAAAAGCCAGTCAAAGAAAGACAAGCACTGTATGGTTTCACACATATGTGGAATTTAATGAACAAACTGGTCTGCCTGGAAAAATTGAAACAGACTCACAGATAGAGAGCAGGCAGACAGTTCTATTATAGTTGGCGGGGGGATTGTTAGGGAAGGTGGAGGGATTGAGCAAAAATGGAAAAAAAGGGACAGGACTCATGGAAATAGGCAACACTATGGTGATTGTGGGTGAGAGGAAAGATAAGGATATGAAAGAGGGCATAAAAGTGATAAATGGTAATGGAAAAATGAAATAAGAACTAAATAAGAACTAATGGACAGGGACAATTGTATGGTGAATGCAGGGGGCTTGGAGGTGCACAGGAGTATAGTTGGGATAAATAGTGATGAAAAAATAAATAAAGGGGGGGAAAGCATGGGTGAGAAGCAATATCACAGAATTTCTCTACACTGGTAGAAATGCCTTCACAAAAAAATTGGAAGACAAAGAAAGTTAAAGACAGGTATTCAGAATCTTATATATATTATAGATATACTCCTCTACTCATGGAGTTCATAAGATAAACATCAGTTATACATAAATCCTCGTCTTATTTCTGTAATGACTTTCTGAAACTTAATCGACATGAATTCTTATATTCTATAATGGTTGGATATTTAGAATTTATATCTTAAACAACATTTGATGCTGAAGAAGTACTAGAAGAATTCTTCAGCATCAAACAGTTTTATTTTAGTAAACAAGATGTCAAGGTTTTATGTCTTTGAAAGGCATCTTTCTTTAATTCTATTCTAGATGACTATAAATATAGCATTGTTACAGAAGACAATATTTTATAGACTTCTAAAAAAAGACTATATGACTATAAAGTCCATTTTTATATCCAAGTGAGTGTGATTCTATTATTCTCTGAGGAAAGGGATAGCACTGCATTACTGATGACATAATTAAAATAAAGCAGCAATAAAATAAAATACATATAAAATAAATATAGTATTCATAAAATAAAATTAAATAGTAATAGAAAATTACATGTTAGTTTTCTAAATTTAGTTTCATGTGCAAATGCCTTATTCTAAAGATCTTGGTGATTTATTTACTGAATTAGTGTCAGTCCATTTATCTGAAGGAAAGATATATAATATTATTCAGATTTGAGATACAGCTTATAAAATCTATCAGTTTATTTTAATATTTATTTTAAGATCTATAAAATACATGAATAAAGCTTAAAATAATGAAACCTTAAATAAAGGGCTGTTTTCTTTGTAGCCACAAGACATGATGGTGGTCTCAGAAATCAATCCAGTTTATTAGGCTTCCTTTGCTTTTCACCCAAATTTGTAAACATAAGTCCTTCCATTTATTTCAACTGGGTAAGTCAGGAAGTGCTCAATTTATCTTCTAGTAAAAAGTCTAGTGCTATTTGTTTCGTGGCTTCTTAATCTCTATGTTTTAAAACCCCTTGACATTTACAATAACACCAATTTATCTACTTGATTCATGTGATCTTGATGATTAAAGAGTTCTACCCAATGATAACACTCCTTGAAGACAAATATCAGGAGACTGCCTGAGCCTCGTGCACAGGATGTGAACAGGCACCTGATTCCAGACCTACCAGCCATGAACCTTCTTCCTCTTGAGCCGGATACAAGTGGTTCAGCACCGAGAAGGGCCAAACAGACTTCTGGGTTCCTTGGCCTGGGTCTAAGCCCCACCCAGAGAATCACTCCCTTCCAAAAGAAAGCAGTGAAAATCCCATGACTTAGATATTATTTTATGCAATTTATCATTAATAGGAATACTGCAAAGGTCTCCCCAAACAGAAAAAAGTAAAATAAGAAAGTACCAAAAAGTTTTTGTAGTGATAAATCACAGATTTTTGACAACTGTACATAATACCATTTATAAACCAAAGTTATTGTTCTTGTACTTTAAAAAGTCCTAATATATAGAGAACCAGGCTCTGTAATATCTAAAACGACTGAACAGGCGACACCTGAACACCAGGCTGTGCGTGCAGCAGGCTCAGTGGGCGGGACTGGCGAGCAGGCTGAACTGCCGACCTCTTGATCCCCCCCTGGGTCACAGGTGCATGGTGACCCAGCACTGACTGCAGCCACCAAGGCAGGTGTGATGTGATTGGTTGGGGGCCCCCCCCATCACCCCACGATTGCCCCTCCCATCGCCACCGCCCAGGCTACCTGGCTGGTGGTGGTGGGCGGGGCCTCCCTCTACTGGGCAATCAATCATGGAAGACTGCAAGAGGGCTCAGGCTGGGATGAAAGAAATCCCTCCTCCCCCCACAAGTACATGAATTTCATGCACTGGTCCTCTAGTTATATATGACTGAATTATTTTTAAGAGAATCAAATTAATAGTAATGAGAAATTCATATATGTATAAGCATAAACACATTTTTTGAAAAATCCTCAGTTAAGGATATTTTTATTGACTTTTAGAGAGAGGAAGGAGAGAGAGGGAGAAACATAGATGTGAGAGTAAAACACCAGTCCATTGATCCGTTGCCTCCTGTACACTCCCCGGTAAGGGACTGAAGCCGAAACCTGGGTATGTGCCTTGACCAGGAATTGAACCAACCACCTTTTAGTATACTGGATCATGCTCCAACCAAGTGAGCTACACTTAGCCAGGACATAAACACGCATATTTTTAAGAGAATCAAATTGAGAGCAATAAATGAAAAGGAATCATTATGAACTTTTGACAAACAAATAAAAATATAACAATTACATGGATTTTATATTCCTGTCAAATGATGTATAGCAAGTAAGCATTTCCATGTAAGAGCATGCTATATGGGTCATACCTTTTCATGAACTTTCTGGCCAGGTTCCATCCCTTCAAGATGTTCTGACTCTGTGGATCCCTCACTTGATGCCATTTTCCTTTGTATATGAACATTTTGTTCACGTAAGGCAACAATCTGTAAAACAAAATGACAAACTTTTAAAATCTAAAGTAGAAAATAAAGTATAAAAATTTTGAATTTACTTGAATGTGATTAAGAGCTAATGAACGCAAACAATCAGAAAATAAACATTGTTTTATTCATTATTATTTCAAAAAATATTTCCAAAGCTTGATTAGCATTTTGAATAACATTTATAATATTTATAGGAATGTGAAAATTTTCTTTAAAAATTGTCTACTTGGAAAATGTATCTATCAGGTTGGAAATGTACCTAAATAAGAAGTATAATCCATGTGTTGTTAAATCAGAAATTAACTTCAAAAATTAATTTATGAAATGTGATAAAATTTGTATTGGTCTATATTTTTGAAGTATACAAGAAATATAAATAAAAAGATTGAAAGCTGAAGACTAACTATTAGCACAATCATTAACTCTAAGAAATAATGTATCTGTAATTTGAAAACTAACAATACATAAGCTGGACTTAAATACTTGTAGCACTGTCATAAGTACTTAGAATTAAATTGGTCTCACTGTCTTATTTTAGTGACCATTGTCTTAGCACAGCTAGTCCAAATATAGCAGTTAATTAAGGAAAATCACCAACCAATAATCATCAAATAAACAAAGGACATAAATCAGTTGGGTGTTTGCACTGCTACCTGCCCCGGCTTCAGTGCCCAGATGGACTGTGATGTGTTCACAAGATCAAGTGAACTTGCACATGCACTCCAGCACTTGTAAATATGGCATGTCATTTTCTAGGGGCATCATCACACCATGAACAAGGATGTAAATGCCATTTCTTGAAGTACTGAAATCACTAAATGACTAGCCCCCTTGCTCCCATTCTTGCTCATCTACACTCTATCTTTCACAAAGCAGCCATATTTACATTAATATTGTGTCATTTCTAAGCTTTCTAAAGAACCCCAATGTCTTCCCAACTTACTGAGTCTCCATTGAAATTTCTTAACAAAATCTTTAACTTCCCACATAATCCCTTTGGCCACAATTACCTCCTTTCTGTCCCCTAAACGTACCAGGCTCTTCCTTACCCAGAACTGAGAAACATGATCTTCCTGCCTGAATATCCTTCCCCAGCTCAGAATAACCAGCACCAACCCAGCCTTCCCAACTCAGCTGACACACCGCCCACCCCTCAGAGAAAACACGCCTTGATGTCAAACACTTTTTACAATCTCCCTGTCTATTTCTGTGGGTGTTTCACTCATTAAAATGTAATATTTCATTCCCTATTTACTCACTTTGCTTTTTTATTTAGTTAACAGAAGAACTAATAATATTTCATGCGAAAATAATTTTCAAAGGAATGTCTTATTGGGAACATTTTCATATGAAGCAGCAATCATATTATTATGTGCATAGTACTCTATAAAAATGTGTCCAGTTACATAATGAATGAATATGGAAAAACAATGAGTGTAAAACTAACTCACCTGAAAATAACAAAAGATAAAGATTTAAAGTGTTTGAGAACTCCTTCAGAGATATCCATTCATGTTAGTGTAGAAATGGATTAAATAAAAGGAAAACCAAAATGAATTAGCCTGTATATATCATTCTTATATAGGCAAGTTGTGCATGCAATTTCATCCACTGAAGGCACATGGAAATGTAGTCAGGAGACACCTCCACAATCATTTTAGCTGCTCAACCACGACTTGTCAAGTGTTCGTTGACATTTGTTTCTAAATGCCCACCATCCCTTCATATTCCTTTTGGTAACATCTCACATTTCCATTGGAGAATTTCCTGATTTCCCTTTCAGCTCTGAAAGTCCCCCCTAGAGGGACTGTCACTCAAGGGGTCAGAGCTGATGGCCAATAGCTGGGCACATGATCCAAGTCAGGGCAATTAGCATGTTCCTTGAGATGCTTCTGGCAGAGGTATGGGGGGGGGGAGATTCTCTCTGCTCTGGAAGAGAAGCTGGTAGTAGATGATCAGGGTGCTGTTTTCCATTATTGTAGTTCTGCCTTGTGGAGAAAGCAGGGGGCTGAGATGGAGTCCTGATGAATTTTTCTGTTTCTGATTCCAGCTTTTTTTTTTTTTTTTTTTAACTTCTTTTGCCATTTTAAAAAAATTATCTATGGTTTCTCCTGACTTCTTTTTAAATTTTATTTTTCAATTACAATTTACATTCAATATTATTTTGTATTAGTTTTAGGCATACAGACAGTATAGTGGTTAGATAATCATATGCTTTTTGTAAAGTGTTCCTCTGATATTTCCAGTACCCACCTGGTACCATATATTGTTATTACAATAGTATTGACTATATTTATCTTTACCTCTGGCATTTCAGCATAAAAACCAAAAATTTCCCCTTTGTGTTCAAACTAGTTTGGATAGTTTTCTGTCACATGCAACTAAAAGTTTCCATGCCATGTACCTTTCTTGCAGGCTTGATCCCCTACCCCAGTCCAGGGTGAGTTCCAGAGGCCACCAATTAATGTGTCTCTCTCTCATTGATGTTTCTCTCTCTCTTCCTTTCTCTCTCTCTCTCTCTTTCTTTCTCTCTCTCTTCCTCCTCCACATTCACCTCCTTTCCCTCCATTCTTTCTAAAAATATCAATGGAAAAATATCCTTAGATGAGGACTAAAATAATAATAATAATAATAATAATAATAATAATAATAATAAAAGTGACCTGCAAATATAGTAGGGAACGTGGAAGACAACACAGCCTATGGAATTGCTAAGAGGAGATTTTGGAAAATTCTAATAATTTACCAGGCACAATGGGAGAAATTTTTTCTTACATAAGAGCTCTATATATTCCTAGCACTACAGGTTCACTGTTTTTGTCCAAAGTGTATCTGGAGGAAGATGGAATTAGGACAGGAAACTAAAAAAATAAAGCACTTCAACTAAAGCTCTGGCCTCTGCATGCTTCTATCTTTCTGGCATTCTGCTTGAGAAGCTCTGAGCCCATACAATGGCCTTTCAAGTCTGAAAAACTCCCTAGCTCTCATTCCTTGTTTCTACCAAACTCTCTCTGGGATTCTACCACGTCTTCCAACAGACGCTCTCCTATCCCCTTGTCTTTGAACAACTGTTTTCCCTGCCAACCTAGAGAGATTCATTCACTTCACAAATTTTCATTGAGCACAGGCATTTGGGGAAAACAAATCAAGAGGAAAGAAGAAATTCTAGCCTTAACAAAACTTTAATTCTTGTCAGAGGAGAGAAACTATAAACAAAAATGAATAGCATACATTTTAAATGGTGATAATTGCAGACTATAAATGAAAGCATGGGAAAGGTGCTGTGAGATGCAGTTTCCTTAGGAATTGGGTGCTTTGTGGGTGTATACCTGAGGACTCCGGACAAAGACAGCAATGTGGATATCGGGCAGAGGGTGGGGAAGATGTAAATCCTTATTGAAAACAGAGTTTGAGATTCAGTGAGTTCTTCAAATAATGTAAAATGTCCTTTTCAAAAGGAAACTAAATACCAGTGAAAATTGATGCTTTAGAACTTGAGGTGTGAGGAAATATAGAGAAACATGTGATTTTTTAAAAGTGATTTTGGAGAAAATACAATTTATATTCCTAAATTTTGAAATTTCTCAAGAGTTTAAGATGTATTAATCCATTTTTTTTAACAAATACTCATTAATCACTGTTCCAGTATCAGACACCACTGAGAAAAAGATAGATCAAGCAATGAGATTGCATTCTAGCAACAATAACAATTAAAAAAAACAGTAAGGTAACAAAATAGCAATGAATTGTCAAGCTCTTAAATGTGTTTAAGATTGTGCTAAACACATTATAGAAATTTGCATCTTTAAAACAACTGTTTACCTCTACTGTGCTTTCTAACCAAGTTTGAGATTTCTTCAAAGCAGATTTTGAGACAATTAATAATGAGCATGTAGTTTATTTATCCTTAAATAATCTTGAAAGGCCTTGATTGAGTCCTGATCTTTTTAGGTGTAACTGGCAATATGACCTTGTTCATATTACTTAAACTCAAGTTCATGCTCCTTTTCTATAAAATGAAGGATAAGATACCTTTTAGTGTTTGTACTGTAAAGTACTTAGTCAACTTTGGTGTACATTAAAACTTTATTACATAATGACAAAGACCCCCATTCACCTCTTCAACTTTATCTTCCTATCCACACTTTGTGTTCTGGCTTATTGAAGGTATTGCTTTCACACACATAGGAAATGTCATCTTGACTGGGTTTTTATTCATTTGGATTACCCTTGGTGAGATGATAGAAAAAAATATACATATATTGGTCTCTGCCTCTAATATCTGGCATAAAATCCTTAAAACCTTTGTAAAGTCCTACATGATAAGGGCAGTAGGAGCATCTTTTGTTTTATTGAGATGACTCTGGGTGTGTTTCTGGATGGAAGCTGGTCACCAGAATACCTAAGCTATGATTGGAAGCTTGACAGTTTCAGTCCCATCCCCCATCCTCCAGAGAGGGGAGAGGGACAGGAAATGGAAATGTTTGATCATGCCTATGTAATGACGCCTTCATAAAAATCCCCGAAGTGCAGGTGTCAGAGAACTTTCAAGGTGTTGATGAATCCAGGTACTGGAAGGATGATGCACCCCAATTTCACAGGGACAGAAGCTTTTGCATCCAGGATGCTTCCAGATATTGCCATATGTATCTCTTTATTTGTATCATTTAACATATCCTTTAATAACATGTAAACATAGTTGGAGCTATTTTCCCAAGTTCTGTGAGCTGCTCTAACATATTCATCAAACCCAAGGAAGTTGAAAGAACCTCTGATTTAAAGCCAATTAGTCAGAGGCACAGGTGATATTTGCACTTGCCATCGGCATCTAAAAATGTGATGGTAGCAATCTTATGGGACTGAGCCCTGAGAGATTTGACACTATCTCCAAGTGCATAGTGTGAGAATTGTAGGACACCAAGTTGTAGGACACCAAGTAGTTGTCTCAGTGAATTGCTTGGTGGAGGACAAACTCCCACGTACTTGGTATCAGAAGTGCT